AGTGCAAAAGAACAGGTGTATTATAGAAGGTATGAAATTGAAATAATTCGAAAGAAGAGGGAAACCTTGGCATCTTGGGAAGCAGTTGGATAATTCATTGTATCAATACAGATAATGTATATGTAAGTACATACAGTGGTAATACATATAAATTTATATATCAAGTTTTTACACAGTGTGTTCCTTCTAGTATTACAAACATATCAGAATGATGTTAACCAGTTCCAATATACAGACTTTTTCGAGGCTGTGCATCACTACTGCTTCTTCCAGGGTTTTGTGCTGCTCAACTCAGCCATCCCTTTCACCAACTTACATTTCTATTATTCATTCTGCTTATTTCTCTATTTCTACTGAAACTGTAAACATTACCACCTACTTCAAAAGACTGATTTTTTGGACACTTTCTTTTTTGGACACAGCAGAGTCATCCAGCTTTCAGTGGTGAAAACACTGTCACTACAAGCATATAGTCCTGTTTAGAGATATCAGCTCAGATCCCAGGCACAATGCTGCAGTGTCAGTGCCTCAGAGAAAGGCAAAATCACTTAGTGCAACTTCATGCCCCTATTTAGTACTATTTAGTACTAGTACTATATAGTACTATTTAGTACTATAAATTTATCTTGGCTGTTGTTAGCAGTAGGATGTCTGCAACACGCACTACTGCACAATGTAAACCTGTCCTCAAGCATTTGTGTACACACACAGATTCTAGTCTATAAAATCAATTGCAAATATCAGTATGCACAGTTGTAATATTTGTGTTTACAAGCTGTAAAGAGGATTAAGTGTTGATCCCCTCTATACACATAGATATCCTGGATGTTTGCAGATGACATGACAACCTTACCGTCATTTGTTTTCATACTCCTCTTGATGCAGGATGCACATTGTTTTTTCTACAACCCCTTCTATTACTCAGTGAAGTGTAGGGATTTTTTGGTAAAGAATTAAACTTAAGTATAGAAGAATATAGTTTGAAAGATTTCCTGCTTTGTTTCCTTGTTGCAGAACTTAAAATGAAAGTGACCGAATGAGGGAAATGCTGAAAAGAGCAAGAACAACATCATCAGGCTGCTTGAGTGCCATAAACTTCATTTGTGATATCAGCAAAAGATTTGTATCAAATTATAGTCATGGTTCTTAATTGCACTTTCTTCATTTTCTGGATGATTAGTTTGAAACACTGAGACAGAATGTGCAGAAATGCTGAGCATTCGGCTACTGCCAAAACGAATGTGAGCCATGCTACATGGTATGTAATGCCAAACACTCTGAAAAAAGATACTGCCTTCATCATCTGCACCCAAACTTAGTAGTACTACTGACCATACTTCAGTTGCATTTCTTCATTTACCAGAATTTTGTAAAAGTACACTCAGTAATAACAATTTGTGAAGAAGTCAGTTGCTAGAGCGATAGCACTATAGAGACTTATTTGAGGAAATCGGTCATTCTGTTACCAGAGAAGTGTGTGAATAGGAACCAGTAATCAAAATCTGGTCCAGTACTAAGTAGGCATAAATAAAATACAGCATTGCTGTTCATTAACCAGGAAGTGGAAATCACAGAGGTTCAGCTGTGTAAGAGTCTCCTGGAAAAGCCATATGCCAATATATAACATATTTTATCAGAAAACTTAATACTAGATCACAGATCATCTGCCCAACAGAGAAGAACCTGTTAGGCTAAGTCGAAATTCTCATATTTTCTGAGTTTGACTAATTGCAATTGCAGATCACAGCTACATAAATCTCAAAGAACAATGTTGCTCACGTACTCTTATCTCCTATACTTCCGGACAGACAGTAAGTAACATTAAAAATGTCTGTATTAAAAACTGCATTCTGGACCCCTTCATGGAAACACTTCCATAAAAAATCATGGGCACTGAACAGCATGGTGGATTCGAAGAACTAACCAAGTGGATAAATGGGGCTTGATTTCAGATAACAGCACACAAAAGGCACTAAGTGATTTGTCTTTGCAGAAAATAACTTTTTTTTCCTCTCTTCCTGTTTTAAAGAAGCATTTCTGAATTTCATCATGCCTATTAGCATGTCATAACTGTGAGGAAGAAACACAAAAATTAAACTGTTTTCTACACCGCAAATAAGTTTTTCATAATGTCCAGTCGGAACCTCCCAGGCTCCTTCCTGAATGACATCTCTCTCTATTTTCCATGCATTGTAGGAAACAAAAAAAGCAGGACAAATTTGGTGAAAGCGAAAGTTAGGAGAGTAGGAGAAGAAGTCAAGAACATAAAGGATACTAGAAGAAGAAGTAAGGAAGATTGAAGAGCAGTATTAATTCAAAGTAGAGCTGAAGAACTAGCTGGCAGAAGCAGCCAGTCACTAGAAGGGTTATTCTATATGCAAAAATCCTGGGAGTGACAACCTGGATTTATGGAAAAGCTGTGAAGAAAGGAATGGGCTAAAACAGTGCCGTTCCACCTCTGAATGCCGCATGACAAGAAAAATACTGCTACAAGTTACTAGCAAGGTTACTCTGGGAACTTGTGGTAAAGTCACATTATTGTGCTAATGCTTACATTATTGTTCACTTGACCTAGCCAACATCAGTCACGGCATTTCAGATCTCCCCCAGGAAACGATGTTTAGTTACTTTATGAGCAGAGATCTATTTGAAGTATACAGTGTCTAAGTATTTTCTGTTTTCTTGAACAGGAGGAATTAAAAAATACTCTTCCATGTTGGCTGTGTAAGTCTATTGAATGAGTGGAGGTGAAATGCAACTTCAAGAGGAAGTATTCCTTTGAATAATTAGTAATATTACTAAATTAATTTATCATAAGTATTTGGAAATTATTTTCACAAGTCTCATATATTTTGATACATTTCATTATAATTTCTGAAAAGTCTCAGTACCAGATAATGAAAGTTAACTTGGCAAGAAGTAATCACTTAGGAGTGTGGGAATAATGTGATCTGTATCAAAAAATGCAGATATATGCAAATGCTGCTGATGGTGTCTTAAAGGTCAAATTAATTAAATTTAAGTATAAATCTGTTTAGGCCTTATTTATGATAGTTTACGAAGGGAATAATCAGTAGTGACAAATCTGGGGCTTCGGAGAGGTCATAACACTTCTCCAAACATGCAGGAAATGTTATCCTGTGTATTTGAAACCACAGCATAGCAACTGTTGATATTAATTGATTTTTCAGTAGTAGCAACGTAATGATTCATAAAGTATATTTTCCCTCTCACTATGATGTGTTACTTCATCAGAATCACTTAATAAGCTTACGTTTGTTAGCCAGATGAGTTTACCTTATTTTTTCCTTTCATCATGACTTCAAATACACACCAGCTACCTACGTTAAAATTTTTGTTTTTCAATTATTCATCTTGGTATCTTCATAATAATTGAGATGGTAACATTTCCCTTAATATTGAACTGCATATATTTCCAAACGTGCAAGTATTTTGTAGCCATCTTTTCCTCATTCAGATAATACTAAGGTTAATTCTATGCTGATGTGTATGTCACTGAAATTGCCACTAATGACTGAAAGTGACCAATTCTTTTCAACACTTCCAACTTTATTTAGTTATGTTACTTTTATTTGTAATTTTAAAATATTTGATAAAAATAGGATCATTTCTTGCTATGACAAAAAAGAAAAAAGTGCCTTTTAATTCTCCCTTCTTAATTATTAAGTTCATTACTCAAATATAACTGCTCCTAAAGAGAGAATACAGTAATTTTTTTTTTTTATTATTTTTCCAGAAAAAAGTGGGTTAAAAGGAATCTAAAATGGCCATTCTGCCCATTCCCCTGCCCCAGTACACTATCAGCTACACTGACACCATCCTCAGGCAGGTGTCAGTCTAACCTGCTCTTAAACAACATGAGTGATGGAAATCCAACAGCCTTCTCAAACAACCTCTCAAACATGTGCTTCACCACACGCGTAAAAAGAATTTATATTTCCCATTGTCTAACCCAAAAGCCACTCCTGGCTTTTTTACCTCATTACATCTTGTCCTGTTCTCAGTGAATATGGGAAACATCTTAGTACTTTCTTCTTTACAGGAACTGTTCAGTCTATTCCCCTTCTGAAAAACTGTTTATCCACAGCCCAGGGAAAAACATTCTAAAAAGTTAGCTCACTATTGTAATATATCTTTAAAATCATATTTTAACACATTCACAAAACTTTGTTCATTCTCTCATTGTTCTTAAAACACTACATTACAAAGGATATTCCTGTAAATTAGTCTTCTTGTGTCTCTAGGTAAAGCAATAATCAATAATACATCTATTTTAATTGTTAAATGAATATATATTTTTAACTCTAAAATTTGATCTCATTTATTATGAGATTGAGATCATGTTTATAAAGAGGAGAAACTGCTGAACTAGCAATAAAATTGCATATGTGAGAAGGAGGAATATTCAAGAAAGGATTCATACTATTAACTGTCCAAAGCTGAAGGATTTTCATTATGTAGACCTGTGGATAAATGCTGATCTTAGATGGCTTTTGAAATTTCTTTTTCACAAGCAAAGTAACTACATGCACAGGTGCAAACTCATTAAAAATTTGTGTCAGATCGGACTTGGCTTTTTTGAGAAGCTGGAATCTTTAAATATAAGGAAGAAAATTATAAAACTGTGGAGTTATTCATTCCAAGGTCCTGCTCAAATGTCACTCGGAAATTCATTAAATTACATTTATCTTACAATATTAACAATTTTGTAGGACTAAGTCTGTGCAAAAATTTTTCCTGTTCACCTCTTGACATTTCATCTGCAAGACTTGTAGAAAGAAGACTCCTCCTAGAGTGCAAATACCATAGGGAAGTCAGAGCATCCTCTATTTACCTGTGCACCTGCAAAGGAAAAGTAAAACGTCTGAAGCCCCACCTTTTAAGGACCTTGTGAAGCAATCTGGGAGCTGAGCCAAAACTTGCTCTCTCACTATATAAAACTCAGGAGCAGACCAGTACTTTCTCAGAGGCAGGTTGTTCGGTAGTTTCTACCGGACTTCCAGAAGATGGGCACAGGTAGTGGGACACAAATACCACTATGGATATCAATACTAGCACTTGCCTACGTACAGATCAAAGGTAGGAGGATTTACTTGCTTGGGATTTTTACAGTTTTAAAGAATTTATGACCTGCTTCAGAGTTTGAAACCTTTTTTTGGCTTTGCGGAGCTAATGTATACCTTTACGCAAAATTTTCTTCTCAGTTACAAATACTTTCCTTCCTAAAAAAAGGAAATTAAGAGTCTTCAATGTTCATATTCTAGTTCATGTTCTTAACACATTTTCTGCATTTGAAATCTGCAGTAATTCATATTTCTACCACTGTACCTCAAGACTGGCATTTAACTTCTGATGTGAGCTTTTGAAACTACTTCTTTTAGGAATGCACAAACCAAAAGGTGCAAAAACACATTTAAGAAAGAACAAACTAGTGGAATCTGTTTGCATTATGAAATACTTCTTTGTTGTTTTATCAGCTAACAATACGGTAGAGATTTTTCTTGAAAAATGTTGTACATTACATTTTAAATGTCATTTATCCATAAGCATGAGATTGTACAAAAGCTTAGAGCAAATGTTTGTTTTTTTCAGGGTACAAAAACAAATAGATTTGCCTTAAATATTACAAAAAAACACTTCAAACTCACAAATGGGTAGAAATCTTTTTTATTCACATTCCTCTGTTAATTTCCTTTAAAGATTAATGTGACAACAGTGTTAGTTTTTAGTGTGTTTTAGTTTCCGATGTAAATCCTAGTGAACTACTTTATATTTTTCTAGCACCAGATAATTCCACACTAATTTCTGTTAAAAAGTAGTGCTGTCTAAGAATAGCCCATCAGAAGCCTAGCTGTAGTATTACCATACAGTGCAATGGCAATGGGAAACTGGGAAGCATGTGGCACTAGGCAGAGTGTTGGAGCCATAGTAGGCATGGAAAAAGAAGAAAAAGCACACTAAGGATATGGAATGGAGGGGAGGAACCCAGAAGCACTGACTGGTTCACATCTGCAAAAGGGGTACAACACATCCTTCCAACCCTAGCTGCAAATTCCCAGCTGATGCAAGAAGGAAAGAATTTATGGAGCTCCCTTCAGCTCTAATTTCAGTATTAGCCCCTCTAGTGGTGCTACCCATGGACTGCCCTGCTGTGGGACACAGAGAACAGTTGGCCTGGCCTGCCTTTGCAGTTTTTCTCTAGCTGCCATGGCCTCCCCTGCAACCTGCCTTGTACCTGACAAACTCTCAACAAGTTAAAATGCCTCTTGGGCCCTACAGATTTTGTGTGTACGCCCCTTTGAAGCTGAAGGGGCGTGGATTAAAAAGCAGCTTCACAGCTGAAAAGAGAAAGCTCTGTTTGGGGGCCTATTTCTTTCTGTGTGGCTTGTGGGTTTATTTTTCTTTTGCTGCTTATTATGAAAAGTGCTTGGAACAGTAAAATAAATAGTAACTTTGGCTTTCAGTAAAAGAAGATAGAAATTGCTCTTCCACTTCAAAAATGTCCTGTAACAAATTGAACTATTTTTAAAGCCCTTTAGATAGACAAAGGCTTTTACTTATGACTAAAGGACATAATAATCATAAAATAGAAAATTAAGTCATTTATCTGAAAAATATAACCAAGTATTGGGGTGATATTACAACAATTAATAGAATAAGAGTCTGCTCAAATTCTCACTATCACATTTTTGATAGCTTCCTTGCAGTATTAGTTCATTAGCCTGCAGAAAAAAATATTTCAGGGAGGGGTATAGGGCCACCATGGTTGCATGGAGCACAGGTCCTAATGTAAGTCTGGCACACAAACATAGCTTTGCCAATTTTTACATGCATAAACTGCAAGTTTAAATAAATGTAGTTGAAAGAAAATAATGAAGGAACTCATGTAAATTAAACATTAACCCTTTCCTTTTTCACTCTCCTTGGTGCAGTTCAAGCTCAGGGCAATGAGCAACAATCACAATCAAACTATGACTCTCCATTATTCCTGCAGCAACAAAATAGTAAGTACTTTTATGCTGACATATTTCTAATATTTTATCCCAAGTTAAACTGGTAAAATTCCAGATTCATAGACTGGGACTAGATTGGCTTAAACCTACTTTCCCTCTACAAATAAATGAGCAAACATAAATAAATAAATCAAATGGAGAGAGAGAGAAAGAGAGAGAGAGAGAGAGAGAGAAAAAAAAAAAATCTGTCTACAAAATATCTAAGTCCCAGCAATTCTTGGGAGAACTAACTTCTTCTGAGATCTAGCCTAGTATATCTGGTCAACTGACGTGCTACAGTTATCTAATCTTTAACTTCATGAAAGGTACATACTTTCTATCAAAAAGCGTATTTTCAAAAGGGGGTGTGTATACATACATATCACCAAGGTATTTGATAGAAGGCAATAAAAAATACATTTTTTATGCTGTGTCAATATGATCGCATCACTTACAAGTGAGAATAACAGAACTGTAACTACCTTAAAGATTACAATGATTAAGCACTAAATCATCATGTATGTGAAATGGTTTTATGACACATACTGGAACACAGTAACAATACACAGCAAAACAAGGGTGAAAAGATAAAATGCCAACTGGTGTATTGGTGATGACATGTTGTGATAATTAACCATTTAGCCTGCACTGCTATCGGCAATTGCGAAGTCTCTAGCTGGGAATTAAAAAAGTACTAAACACAAACTGGAAGTATATTTCAAATTATTTCATGAGTGCATTCAGTTATTGGAATAGATTATCAAATAAGGTAGTATATCTGCTTTTTCTTAAAATCTTTACATCAAGACTTAACCAAACTGCCTTTCTAAAATTATGGATTTGTCCTAGTGTTGTTTTAGTCTGAACACATCAGTCAGTTGCTAATATTCCACAGCCTACAATTTGAAAGTCATTGTGTTCTACAATTTTATACTGTCCAGGGAGAAACTGCAGCTAATCCTCAAACTCTGATGTAAAGAAAATATATAGTAGATTCTCTAAGTATTCTATCCCCTTCATAGCTAGAGCTATAGAGAAAACATAGGATTTGGACATAGAAGATTTAAGGCAAGATCCTATGAACAGAAGTCTTTGCATGAAGAAAATGATCAAAGCTTTACAGAATTTAAACAGCTTTACTTTTAGGGAAAGCAAACAAACAAGAAAACCTACTCACAGCTGGTTGTGTAGAGTTCCATCCTCACCAGAAAAAAGAGACTAGGTTCAGAAAAAAATAGCTGCTGTTTTTCATCCTCTAAGGTTCTTCAGTAGCCTTCTGCTTCTAAATGTACTGAGAGGCGAAGACTGAGATACAGACATTAGCGTGGCTTTTTCTCCACTACCGTTACAACACAGCAATCTAAGGATTACATTGCTGCTTTTGAGCTCAGATTAGCAAGGCCAGCATCAGATGGGAGTCTTGAATATATAATGCAAATAAAAGCTACAGCCAATCTCTTTGAGATTTGGATGCTAGTGAAACACACGGAAAGATAGAATACAGAGCATTGCATGGAAAATGGAAAGCAACAATAAAGACTTGTGGAAATTCTCACTAGGGTGTAACTAGTAGCAGGAAATGTTATATTACTAAAGAAACTTAAGCAATCTCTAGCCATTTTTCAGGATTTCTCATGAGATTAAACTTGATCTTTTTTTTTTGTCCTAGATCTTTCACCAGTTTCCAAATCCCATGGACTGACGTTCATCCCACCTCTTCAAAACACACTGAAAGTAAAGGGTGAGTGCAACAAATGTCATGGCTCAGATATGTGTGTATTTGTACCACACAAAACCTGGATTGAACTAAACAGATTCACAAATTTTATAAGATCCTTCAGCCTCATAAAATAAAAAACAAACCAGAAAAATAATCAATTAATCAAGTAATAGGGATATTCTACAAGCAGCATGATCTGCAGCCTATATTTTGTTAATACGATGAAACTGGGGAAAAATATTACATATGAAATACTGGGATAAATCACACTGACTGTTTCCAGTAAAGTAAGTTAAATGTGTTCAAAACATTGGGAGATATCTCACCAAAGGAACTAAATGGAGGGTATCTACAGCTAATTGCAGAAAATTCTGATGGCTCATTTTGAATCCGCAGCTGGCAACCCCTCTCACAATGGCCGTGTATGCAGTACATGGGGTAACTTCCACTTCAAGAACTTTGATGGGGACATCTTTTACTTCCCTGGGGTCTGCAATTACATCTTTACATCCAACTGCAAATCTCCCTATGAGGACTTCAATATCCAGATTAGGCGCACCACTGGGGAAAATGCTACCGTGATCACTCACGTCATCATGAGGCTGGAAGGAGCAGTGGTTGAATTGACACGCACCTCTGTCCTGGTCAATGGCAAACAGTACGTTCACATCTTCTACTATGAACTGAAATTGTCGGGACTGCTATCACTCCCTGAAGGCTCTTTGAGCAAGCATCCCTTTTCTTCATCTGATCTGATACTGCTCTCAACCAGCTGAAGGGCTCTGGTCCTTCTTGAGGCAACAACAAAAATTAGAGTGCCTGACAGTGAGCAACATGCAACTTCTGCAGATTATCCTTGTGTGCATTTTGTTCAGAGGAGCTATATCCCAGATGCAGCCCCATTGCAACAACTGTCTATATATGCAGTTGATTGTATAAGCTGGATTCAGCCAAACTATTGGCCTTTCCACCCTGTAAGTTTCTACCTGTCATTAATTTTACCAGACAGGAGCCCCGTGAGGAATTTCTTATTGTTCCTGTACTTGCACTTCAACTATAGATTGCACCTGAGCTTATTTTAAATAAGCTAATCTGGGAACCTCCTACTCTTGAAGAAATGGTAGCACTGACTTTGGCAAAAAGTGTGAAACCTGTCCAAATGTTTGAGTAAATATTTGGACAGCTATCTCACAGTGATCTGTGTATTATGGCAACTACTTACAGCAAGCTAGACTAAAGGTTATTTTGGATACAGCTTTACAAATGGCACTCGTGTCACAGAAAGCCTAAAGAGTCTATCCCTTCATTATCAAGGGCTTAAAGGAGTATTCAGCAATATTCTGAAGCATACTGCCTGCAAAACAGAATATCCCAGCCCTTTTTTTGATCTGTGTAACTGAAGACATGCCAACATTTTACCTTTAACAGAAATAAGCAAAAGGAAAAGCAGGGAAAGTAAGGCTGATCCATTGTGGACAAAGAAACAATCAGAATAGCCAAACGTTAACAAATTTGAGCTGTCTGTATTTATTGCTCTGGCTAATTTCCTCATCTTTGTGCACAGTAGCTTCTCAAAGAGTAGGAATTGGTATCAATTTGCTCAATGGATATTCTGTCCCTGCTCCCACTGAATTATGGTGATCTTTTCCCAGGATTCAGATGCCCTATAGCCATATGGGAGTCATGATAGAGAGAAGCAACAACTATTTGAAAGTTTCTGCCAAGTTAGGACTGATCTTTCTCTGGAATGAAGAGGATGCCCTCCTGGTAAGAAAATATCCAAAGTGTGACAGAAAGCCTATAATTAGAAGAAAGTCCATTTAAATTTTTGCAATCTTAAGTAGTCAAGCAGACATTAATACTTGATGGATTTGTATCTATGTTTAGTATAGATACAAATCTATATTCCAGCCTTTTCTTGGTTTTACTTTTTTTCCCCACTGAGAATAATATAAATCCATATTACAGTGCTTGCACATCACAGTGAAATACTCAGATGTTCACAGTCCAAGGGCTGGACTAAGATGAAGCTTTTCATGGTGGTCATTGACCTTCCACATCTTACAGTCTGCACCAGCACACCCATGTCAAATTTTAACTACATAAGGACAGTGTTTCTAACCATCAGGGTTGACGTTACTGTGAACCTAAACTTGCTTTCCTCATTTCTTTTAGGTGGAACTAGATAAGAAATACGCCAACCAAACCTGTGGACTCTGTGGGGACTTCAATGGAATCCCAACTAACAACGAGTTTATTTCACAAAGTAATAAAAACCATTATTACACCTTGGCACTTTTTTTCCTCATTTTAGCAGTTTAGGACGTGGGTTATATTAACTGCCAAATTAATGATACATCTTCCAGTCGGTATTTTTATGATGTCAGTTTTAACACGTAATAGCGTTACAGCTTTCAGATGTATTCAGGTGTTTCGACCACTGTTAGATCTTTTAAAATAATGTAACCTTCTACTTTTTTTCAGTTAGGCTCCAGACCTTCTTTACCTCCTTTTGTCTATCACTATAGTAATATTATTTGGTAATCACTGTTTTCAATGGGTAGTATCTCAAAAGAAAACACCTCCATGCAGAAGCTAGTAAAGCAGTAAATATCATTCTAATATTTTGTCTACTTTATACAGATGCAAAACTGACTGCTCTACAGTTTGGGAATAGGCAGAAGATAGATGGACCCACAGAGCAGTGTGATGATCCTATTCCTTCCACTGTTCTGATGAACTGCTCATCTGAATTTGTAAGAACCTCTCTTTCAGATTTATTTTTTTTCAGAGTAACATACACTATCCTTTCTTCCCTTTGTTTGGAGAATATCTGCTAAGATATGTAAAAATACAGCATGAATATGGCCAGACATGGGTCTGGAAAAAAAAAAGATTCCCAAATTCAGTATTCTTCGCTAACATGAATGCAAAAGAAAATAAAAATTACATGAGTTCAAGAGAAGACTGGACATTTTAAAATGAAAAGGAATTTACCAAAGATGTCTAAACACAAGGAAACAATACAATGCTTGCAGAGTCACCTGAGAAAGTAACTCAACATATGGGAACCATCAAGGGAGTCCCTTGAGTCCTATTGTGATAATATGTTTTTCTAAGCTTCTAAATAGATCTTTCCCTAAACATTTGCCTATGGCTACTGTTGGACAGGGTTTTGGACTTGATGAACTTTTGATTTGTTTTGCTTCATTCCTGAAATGAAATAACTATTTCCACGTTTTCTAAACACTATTTCATTGTTTTCCTTTCCAGGCTTCTATCTGCAAGACAGTATTAACCAGTGGAGCATTCACAAGCTGTAATGCACTTGTGGATGTTCAGGACTACATTGAAACTTGCATACAAGACCTATGCCACTGTGATACTTCTATGGCCGACTTCTGTATGTGCAACACCTTTGCTGAATACTCCCGGCAGTGTGCTCATGCAGGTGGACAGCCTCTGAACTGGAGAACCTCAGAACTGTGTCGTAAGTATCTCTGGAAAAGACTTCTACTTACGCTGCCTCCTTATATACAGTGAGCTTATAATATCTAATTTTTCTTCCTGAAGAAGACAGGTACATATTTAAAGGTATATTTATCATTTAAAGGTATATATAAGTTTCACGAAATCAGCTTACACTTGAGTACACTCAAGATTTCATGGATATGAAGGTTTAGAGGATTTTACATTACCATTTTCGATATATATCAGAAGGTCTAAAATGTTGCAACCTACACTCGGATGTTGTCCATTATATCTTGACAGAAAACAGAGATATTAAATACTCTTTCTCAACATTTCAAAGGAAAAGCCAGCATCATACTACTCTTTCTATTTTCAGCCAAGTCATGTCCTTTCAACATGCAACACCAGGAGTGTGGCTCCCCCTGCTCCGACACCTGCAGCAACCCTGAACGATCTGCACTTTGTGAAGATCATTGTACAGATGGCTGTACCTGTCCTTCAGGCAAGTTACTTCATACCCTTCATTCATAGCCAAAACCATTAAAGCCTTCTTTATCTATTCATGCTATGTCATTGTTGTTGTTATCTTCCTTGATATACATACATCTACCCTGGTTATAAAAACACCTTTCAAACACCAAATGGTCCTAAGACATGTATATAATGACTCAATTGTGTATAAGATACTTTACTACTAACGATAAGAGAACATTCTCAGCGTCCACATGCAGTTAACTGAATGCACAGAATGTTTAATTACACTCTGTCCACAGTGGTAACTCCTACTGTTAGCAAAGCTAGGTGTGGTTACCCAGAATACCATACACAACAAATGTGTTTACTTTCCTTGTGCTGGCTTCTGTGCCTGAGAATTGTTGGCATTCTGAGTGATGGACATCTTCTCCATTGTAGATCTCTGCACATCTTCAGTGATGTCTGACAGAATTCACCATCACTTGTTTATACGATAACACTGACACCTCTTAAATAATTCTCTGACTTTGTACAGCAAATATATATCTAGCCAAATATATCTCCAGGCAATCTTATAAATGGTACATCTATTCCATCTTACTCTCTAATAGTTTTAATCCTAATTCCAATCTAATGAAGCCTATAACAGAAAGGACTTTACTTAAAAGTTACTTATGATCATCCTAGGATTTCAGATAGGCTTCAATGAAATATAGCTTCTTCATTCCCTCTATAGCTGGCATTCTATTATTTTAAGGACCTTTACATTTTCCACATGCAGGAGAAATGCAAAACACTTCATACATCTGGCAGATATGTAGACAAAAGCAAATTCTGTAGTGCACAGAATGACTAACAGACTGTTTCTTTCCCTAGGAATGGTATTTGATGACATTAATGGTGCTGGCTGTATTCCCCGTAAGGAATGCCATTGTACCTATGAAGGCGAAACTTATGCTCCTGGTACCTCCTTCTCATCTAAATGCAGATCATGGTAACATAGCCCCTTTCTCATACTTTTTTTTTTTTTTTAGGGGTGCTACCTATATGTTTTGGAGACAGGGAAAAATTTCTCCTTAAAAAAAAAAAGAACTACTTATTAACTGAAGTTCCTTGATAACTTTTTAAGAGGATTTTCAAATCTGTTTTCTCTTCAGACTCAGAAGCACAATTTTAAGTTTAGAAATAGGTGTTCCGATGTCAAGACTAACCATTTATATGGAACAATCAAACTCAAATTGTGGAGGCTGAAAAGCCATGTAGAGACGTGATTACCATGTCACATCCTTCACAGCACTGTGTAACAAAATGAATGCCAGGTTCAAAGGAATTTAATTCTGTCCAACAACTGAAAATAAAAAAAATTATGTTAAAAATATCATTAATATAAATGATATAAATGATATTTATATTGATATATATATGATATCTATAAATGATAGATGATTTATATTAATGATACTTATTTTGAGATCTCAAAGAAATATGGTTTCTTTGTAAGTATTCTTTTCTCCAGAAGGCAGCATGATCAGCAATGATTCATGAAAATAAAGGTGCCCTTATGTCTAATTTCATTTATACATGCACTACCAAGGTTACAGAATGCCTTCTTCATTTCAGTACTTGTGCTGGGGGTGAATGGACTTGTGTCACCCAGTCATGTCCAGGGACTTGCAGCATCGAAGGAGGCTCCCACATTACAACATTTGATGAAAAATATTATTCCTTCTATGGAGATTGTAGCTATGTCCTATCCAAGGTAAAAAGGAGTCACATTCCTTGTTAAAGTAATTTGCTAACAGAAAACTCTGTTATTAAATACAAGAATGTTTAATTTAAACTACTGGCAATTACAGCAATTTTCTGAAACTTAAAAGAAATACCTGGAACCTTAAATAGATCCCAATGGGCTTTCTGATAGTTTTGTAGAAAACAAATATATCTATTTGATCATTGGTTAAGAACTGCAGTGAGTTTTTAGTTTTCATGAAACAGCCTCTACACTTTCCTTTTTGTTTTAATTGAATATTCCCTGTCTGGTGTTTCGTAACTGTCTCTTTCTGAGAAAGAGAAAATGCAAAATACACTAGAATTTGAAAGCAAAATGGTAAGAAGTCATACATGTATTCTAAAACCAGCATCAGAAATTATATATATACATTAAAAAAAAAAAAAAAAAAAAAAAAAACAACCCACTTAAGATCAACTGGACTTGCTAAATTCGTAGGGACTGAATCCTGAGTAAGTATGTCTTAGTTAACGACTGCAGATTTCAAATCTCAGAATGCAGTGTATTTTTGGCTGTTGATTTGTACTGTACGAGTAATGCAAAATCAGTCTCCTGAAGGCTTTACATTAAATAAAACCTGCTCTGAAAAAGCTCAAGCTGAATGTTACCTGGAAAGAGAACCATAAACACTGAAGAAATGAGCTAGAATAACAAAATTTAGAAACAGATTAGATTAAATCAATGAAAATTTTCAGTGAAAATCACATGCATAGGGTTGGATCAACAATGTGAGCATACATCAGACTTACATGTTAAACTTCCTTTTTGGCACCAGCATGTAAAATTAGATTCACAGGGGTCCTGGAAGTACACCAAAACCTTCAACCCTGTATAGATAAGATTTAAAAAGCCCTAAATTTTAACATTAAATTTTCTTATGGCTGTAATTCCACATCTCAGCTGTCCTAGGTTTAGTACTGTTAACACCAAAAAAACGAGTTCTGTGTGCTTCTCTGTAATGACTTGGCCCTTAGGTGTACTTCGAATACAGCTCACAGAACACAGTCTGCAAAAAAAAAAACAAGAAAACAAAACAAAAAACCAAAGAACAACAAAAATGAAACAGAAAAAAAAAAAAAAAAAAGAAGTGAAAAAACCCACTGAGTGTGATCTTTCTAATACAATGGACTTAATTTGTTTTCTTCTTTTAGCTCTGTGACAGCAATGATTTCACTGTTCTGGGTGACATCTACAAGTGTGGTCTCACTGACACTGAGACTTGCCTCAAAGGCGTAGCCATCAGTCTAAGTGGAGGACAAACTGTAAGTAGCAAATACAAACAGCTAATATTCTGCAGTGATGTTTTCCAATCTCAGTATGCAATTAGTATGCAAATGACTCATAACAGCATGGACTGATTTTTTGTTTTATCTCATTTGAAAATGAATTCAATTTTTGAAAAGAACAAAGCAGATATATTGGAAGTTAAAATCCTCATAGTTTTCTGTCATTTAGTTTTCTGTTTTAGCCATCAATGGATCTCTATAGTAACGATAAAAGAAATAGTAAGGGAATCTGAAAATCACCATAGCTGTAGTCCACCAACTTGCTTCTTCCCTTCCCCCCCCCCCACTCCTTTCCTTTACCTTAAGTAATACTAGATATACTACGTTTGGAAAGTGTTTTACCTTTCCTAAACATGCTTGACAATCATTGCCTTTTCTTGTGGACAGAACATTGTGATCCAGCCTTCTGGCAGTGTATTTGTGAATATGATCTACACACAGCTGCCCTTCTCTGCAGGTAAGTTCCTTTCAAAGACTTCTGTGATATTTCTCACTGGAGAGTATCGTACCACTTCTTCTCAGATACTGCTGCACCTGAACAGAAAGCAAACTATTAAATGACAGAATAGTTTCATATTGGAGTCTACCACTAACTCATGCTAAACATTTTCATCAAGCAGAGGTGTTCTTTTAGATAGGAACAGAAAAGTATGCCTTCCCCTCCACTTCAGAGCAGCTGATGAAAAAGTGGCAGATTTTTGCATACTCATTCTTTAAAGTAAAGAAAGCCCATCTTGGTGCAGGATTTGAAATCCTACATATATATATATATATATATATATATATATATATATATATATATATTTCTGTTCTTCAACAACTAAGATCACACACAGCTGTGTAATTCTCCTATATAGTGAAAAGTTGTTTCTATCTTAAATGAAATTATTCCTCTTTGTCCACAGCAAATGTCACCATCTTCAGACCATCATCATTCTTCATCATTTTACAAACAACTTTTGGTCTTCAGCTGCAGATTCAAATTGTACCTCTCATGCAACTTTTTATAAACTTAGACCCATCACAGAAAGGGCAGACCTGTGGTAAGTGATCTTATTCTAACAACTGCCTTCATCAGCATGCATATTTTGTAGGAGACTTTCACAGACTATTTACTTCCTTCTAGGTCTCTGTGGAAACTTCAATGACATCCAGACAGATGACTTCAAAACCACAAGTGGTGTAATAGAGGGTACTTCGGCTGCCTTTGGCAATACTTGGAAAACTCAGGCTGACTGTCCTGATGCCAAAATTACCTTTGAGAACCCCTGCACTCTCAGTATAGAAAATGGTAAGCTCTTTTGTATTCTCTTTTAAGATAAAAAGAAGAAACGAGCTGATCAACCACAAAGCATTTAGCCAAAGTAACAGTGGACCATTTGCATACACATGCTATTTTCCTCAGCAGACAATAGAAATTATCAATTAATAAGTACTAAGTAGTTCAATATTTTGGATTTTCAAAAATATTCCTTTGGCTAAAGAAAGCCAGTGTTGCTTTCGCCAGTTTACCCAAGGGGAACTGGAACTATACAGCTAAGGAATCTATTCTTGGAAAGCACTGGTTATCATACATGAAAAAAGCTGTGCATAACTCAACTGAAGGAGGAGGACTCACTGTGGTCCTTCCGCTATCAAACTATGAACCACTTATAGTTCATGAATGACTTCATAGCTCTCTGAATCTTAAGAATTTCAGACAAAGAAACACGCTTCCACCATCCACAGCCACTCTTCAATTTTTTAAGATGAACTACTATAGTTTTGATTCACAGTGTGATTCTTCTTTATCAAAATACATCCAAGAAATTTTACTTTATTCCACAACAACTACTGTAAATTAAGAGTACACAATTTATGAAGAATTATTATTTTTGTACAGATGATGCAGAATACTGTTGATATTTAAGGAAACAGACGAATTCTATTAAGTTAAACCTCTCTAATTTCACTGCAGGAAGTAATGTAACAGAAACTAGAATTTAGACAATGAAGTGAAGACAATTTAGACAATTATGTGAATATTAATTTGCATGTTTTAAATCCACAGATAACTATGCTCAGCACTGGTGTGGCTTGCTCTCTGATACCATGGGACCTTTTGCAGAATGTCACTCAACAGTGAATCCAGAAGTTTACCAGAAGGTACTTGGCTCTTAACTTTTTCATGCTTAAAAGAATAAGATTTGGACTACTGATGCTAACACTGAGAGAAGACACATTTACAACTGTTCTTTCTAAGCTAAGGATTCATTTTATCTAGGCATCATAATATCTATTCCTTTATAAAATAACCTTTCTTTTCACTCAAAGGAGGATAAATTTACAGACATTTTCTTGATGCCAAATTCCTAATCTAGGAGCTTGAGCTGTCTGGATTCTTTCTCAAGTCCAATGACAAAAGGCGCTTTTCCAGAGATAAAAGGAGTATAAGCAGTACTTTGCCTAGTTGCTCTCAGCTGGCCCCTTTCTGCACATTTCCAAGGAGAAAGCAAGAACTGAAAGTACAAAGCAGCAAATGGACTGTTAAAAAAAACATTCCAAGAATTCAACCTATGGCCCTACATACAAAAAGAATGACTTTTTTTTTCTCCCCTTTATTCCTCTGAATCAGAGAGTCTAGCAAAGATGAAAAGTCGGGTTGGATTAAATACTTACTACTTGTTCCACTATCTGTGGTACCATGGCTACAAATTGGAAGCAACAGGGAAACCTATCACCACCCGCAAAAGTAAAGAACAACAAAAAGGAAAAATAAGTTAAAATCGCAGGCCTCTGATTACTATTTTTCTTTGCATATAGTCTTTTCTGAAAGGGCTCAAAGAAATCTTCAAATGAAAAAATAGGCATGTGGTTATTTATATGTATTCAAATTACATTTTCTTTTAGCTGTAATGAACATGACTCTTTAAATAAAGTCTAAAAAGATAACAGTTTTGAAATGACAATCTGATGATCTCATATCATCCTCTTTCCCTAGAACTGCATGTTTGATACATGTAACTGTGAGAGTACTGAGGACTGCATGTGTGCTGCCCTTTCCAGCTATGTCAGAGCCTGTGCTGCTAAAGGAATACTCCTTAATGGATGGAGGAACAAAGTCTGCAGTAAGTTCTACACCCCTTTACCTCTTGAAAACAATCATCCAAAAGACCCCACAAACAATCTTTCAGAACATATGGGATTCCTAGAGTAAATTGTGTTAATTTATGTTTTAAGTATAGCATTCAATTCCAAGAATTTGAGGAAGAGAGGAATACCATAAAAGACAAGCAGCATACAAGGAGAAATATAAACTTGGTTACTTGCTCAGAAAATAGCAATGAAGGAAAAACACACGATGTATCAATATAATTGAACTTTTTTGCTTTTTTTTTTTTTTTAACTTGGACATAATATTTGTATTTGTCACACAATTATGGGGGAAATTTTTGCTTTGGCAGTTAAAAAAAAAAAAAAATCACACCACTGAGGATATTAGAAAAGCACATCTACCTACAATGCCATTTTTTATCATATGTACTTTACCTCAAATACTGCATTTATATCTACACTGATCCTTAAATTAACTCACCTTGTTTTACTCTCTCAAGCAAAATACACCAACACATGTCCAAAATCCTTGGAGTACACTTACAATGTTGATTCCTGTCAACCTACTTGTCGTTCTCTGAGTGAGCCTGATGTCACATGCAACATCAAGTTTGTCCCAGTTGATGGCTGCACCTGTGTAAATGGAACCTACATGGATGAAAGTGGCAAATGTGTGCCTGCATCTAGCTGTCCTTGTTACTACAAAGGAATGCCTCTGTCTACTGAGGAAGTTATTCATGATAATGGCATTGTCTGGTAAGCGATTTGAAAAAGAAAAGAATAAAGAATGAGATTGGGTACAGGCAATCAGGAAACCACGTATATCCTATGCAATTTATGCAAATCAAACCAATTTTTCTCCCTAGTGAATTCAACACACACAAAAAAAGAATTCAGAAAAATTATAAGGGCTATTCATGTTTTGAATTAGACTACTGTAGCAATCAAATAAAGCATACTATGGTGAATTAACCTTGGCTACCAGCCAAACTCTCACTCAGGTACTTGCTTACTCTCTGCAACAAAATTTCGATGAGCGTAAAAGACTTCTTTGACAGTTGGAGATGATACAGACTAGATAATCGTACTAGGATTAACATTATGAATGAAATCTGGAATATTCTGAAGGACAATTTTTAATTAGACAAATGGACAAAGAAAACTGGTCCACTTATAGAACATAATGGCATTTTGGTCTGCTCTAATATGAAATATTTTCAAATATTCTAAACTATTCTGATGAAAACACAGTGTTTGTTTCATTCTTTCAAATTAATTAGGAAACAAATTGAAACTCAGCAAGAAAATCAAACATAAAACCTTTCTCTTTTTTATAGCACTTGCAGTTACGGAAAGCTGAGCTGCATTGGAGAGAAACCATCACCAGGTAACGTACTGCTTAAGATTTTATTTAATTGTCCCTTCATACCTTCAACCTTTTCAATTCTCTGTTTTTGTTATAATGATACAAATACTTTAAGTCTGAAATCAAACAAGAAAACAAACCAATGATTCTGTAACACACCATAACTGTGAAAAAAATAACTGTGAAAAAAACACAAAAAACACTGTTTTCGCTTTCAAGTGATAAAACCATCAAGTTATACCTCTGGGATTACCCAGGGGAAAAGAATACTTGCTCATTTCAGTGAACTTGAGGGGAAAAATGACCGCCTTTTAAATATATTTTTTTAAATTAAAGAACTGAAAGCCAGTCACTTCAAACATTCAAAATGAAACAGGATCTTTGCTTTCTTGTTTTTCCTTTGGTGAAAAGAAGTGTTTTATGAAGCTAACTGCACATTAGTTTCTAAGAACAGTCCAAGCATAAACATAAAACCAAAATGGGTATGACTTCAGAACATTTGTTTTTACCTCCGGTCAAATGCATTCTCTTAAGTTGCATGTATCTGAAACATATGTGTTTTTTTGTTTGTTTGTTTGTTTTTTGTTTGCTAGTTTGTTTTTGAATTTTTAAGGAAACATAAAGATATAAACATGGTTCATTTCACACTTCTCGTGCTTTTTTTCTCTCTTCCAGTCTGTGAACCTCCCATGGTCTATGTTGACTGTGGCAATGCCACTGCAGGTGTCATAGGAGCAGAGTGCCAGAAGAGTTGTCAGACTTTAGACATGGAATGTGTAAGTATAGAATCTGTACACCCAATTGAAAGCGTAAGAAACTAGATCTCTTTTATGCTTACCAGTTGTAGATGGACTCTTCCATCAGGGCAATGTCTCAAGTCACATCTCTTACACGGTCTTTACAGTACAAAACCCACTGCGTCTCTGGCTGCATATGTCCTCCTAATTACGTATCAGATGGCAAAGGTGGCTGCATAGTTGCTGAAGAGTGCCCATGTGTTCACAATGGGTATTCCTACCGTCCAGGAGAATCAATCAGAGTTGGCTGCAACAACTGGTAAGAGCATATTAAAACATTATTTTCAAGCCCCTAGAAGGGAACGGTTTAAATTCTAGTTGAATTATAGCTTTTCACTCTAGCAGTATCAAGATTCGTAGGAAAGAATCCTAAATAAAATGATAAATTAAGCAAAAAAATAAGGCCAATTGGGCCCACTCATGGCCATTTTAAATAAAAAGCAAACTGCTTCTGTTTTCAAAGATGCACACAGCACAGAAATTGCATGTGATCACAATAAAAATTTTGTTTAGATGCTATCATATTCATTAGAGTTAAGACAGCTTTCTTTTTTTCTTCTCAGGCAATACTTATAATTCAATACAACCAACAAGATTTAGAAATGTGGAACACCTAAGTTTTTTCTAACCCAAATTATTCACGTCATCATAAATGAACACTCTTTGGGTAAATTCTAGAGACTGGAGCTTTGCTGCATTTCTGAGAATAAACACACCTTATTTTTTCACTGCAGGCTTAACATTTTTTAAAACTAAAAACAGAAGAATGTACATGTAGAAATATAAATCTGTATAATATGTGAATATCTGTTTTCTACATTTTTTGAGTTCTTTTCGTCTTATGTAGCACGTGTAGAAACAGAAAGTGGCACTGCTCCGAGGAACCTTGCCTAGAAACCTGTTCAGTTTACGGAGATGGGCATTATACCACCTTTGATGGCAAACGCTTTGATTTTGAAGGAGACTGTGAATATGTTCTAATCCAGGTAACAGATTCCTTCTGTACAACTACCTGAAAGGAGGTTGTAGTGAGGTGGGAGCTGGTTTACTCTGAAAGTTGGAAGCCCTGCCTGTGGCAGGGAGCTTGGAATTGATGGTCTTGGGGTCTTTTTCAATCCAAGCCACTTTGTGATTCTAGGATTCTCCAAGTAATAGGATGATAGGAAATGACCTTAAGTTGCAGCAAGGGAGGTTTAGGCTGGATATTAGGAAAAATTTCTTCTCTGAAAGAGTGGTCAGACTCTGGAATGGGCTGCCCACGGAGGTGGTGGAGTCACTGTCCCTGGAGGTGTTCAAGAAACATTCAGATGTGGTACTAAGGCGTGTGGTTTAGTGGGGAAGTATTACTGGTAGGTAGACATTTGGACTAGATGATCTTCGAGGTCTTTTCCAACCATGGTGATCTGTGATTCTATAATTCTTGTATATTGCATCACAGAACATCATTAACACAGAATATCATTTCTCTGTTTCAGAACTACTGTGGCAGAAAAGGTTTGAATCAGGGAACCTTCAGAGTAATCACTGAAAACATTCCATGTGGCACAACAGGAACCACCTGCTCCAAGTCCATTAAAGTTTTCTTGGGGGTAAGCATGTTCTTTAATAAGTTTCACCCGAACTAATTTGCTGGAAGGACTGTTGGGTTGTCCCAGACAGACTGTATAATAAAAGTGTCCCCCAGGTCAGCAAAAATGTTATCACACTTCCATGATCACTGCCAACAATTCTGCCAGGGAAAACAATGGAGGGATTTTTGAAGAGAAGTAGATCAACAGGAGATTTTTGAATACAACATTTTGATGATTATTATTTCAAAAATGGTTACTAACAATATAAAAAAAATGGACCTAATGGGTGACTTTTTAAATTGGTCTCTAACTTTTTCATTTCTTGTCCCAGAACTACGAGCTGGTGCTCAGTGATGGACATTCTGATGTCATCCAGAGGTCACCTGGAGGAGAAATGCCATTCCAAATCCGTTCCATGGGCATCTACACGGTTGTTGACACTACTGTTGGTCTGATACTCATGTGGGACAAGAAAACCAGTATATTCATCAAACTTAGTCCCAGCTTTCAGGTATGTTTTAAAATCCAAAACCTGGAGTGGACGCTTCCTGACCCATTTTCATGCTCTATCTCGTGTGGAAATATGGAAATTTAGGCTGCAACTGAAATAGCAGTTACTGCCTATTATCTTTGTAATATTGACTCAGATTCTATATACACATTTTCCATAAATTCTGTTTTTCAACAACAGCATAACAGCAGCTGTATAAGTAGTATCCTTCAAGAAAATGTACTTTGCTGAAGTGGTACATTTAATTAATATTAAGAACAAAAACCACAAGTCTACTCTGCTTCTTTCCCTATCACTTGTAAGGATAAGTTAGAGATATCTTTACCTGAAAGGTATTTTGCTGAAGAAGTACTGCTCATTTTAAATAAGGTTCATCCTGGAGTACGTTCCTCACAGATACTGAGAAGCTGTACCTTGCTGATCTTCGTTATTTTATGTTTATCCCCATGCAGGGACATGTCTGTGGCCTTTGTGGAAATTATGATGGCAATGGAAACAATGACTTCACAACGCGCAGTCAGTCTGTGGTAGGAAATGTGCTGGAGTTTGCCAATAGCTGGAAAGTGTCTTCTACTTGCCCAAATGCCAATCAAACCAAAGATCCATGCACTGCAAACCCATACAGGAAATCCTGGGCACAGAAGCAATGCAGCATCATTACCAGTGAAGTATTTGCAAAGTGTCACTCCCAGGTACGATAAAACTTCAGTCTGCAGAGTTTACATCAATTTCTATGTGGGGCAGTTGAAAACACACTAGGATTTGGACTAAGTCATGAATAACAAAGTCAGGCCATGCTCTAGGGAGATTGAGTAGAAAGGATATGCACCTCCATTTCTTCAGCTTATGCCAGTTTTCTAACACAACACAAAAATCCATAGGACTTGGTTTCTTGTGTTATAGAAGGGACAGTTACAGATAAATAGCAGGATACATTTTAACTGCGATGGCATCGTTTGCTATTAATATAAATATCAGCTACATGATATCTACAATTGTGTGCTAGCATGTAGTAATGTAGCAATACTCCTTCTGCAATTGTGTCTTTAACACCAAATCGTTCTTATGGTTATGACTTCCTACTAATAGCTGTCTTCAACATTTTTCTCTTGATTTTTCAAAATATTATCGTAATTTTTTCATTTTTTATCTTTCTAAAATATACAGTGGCCAACTTCAGATATTTTCTAAGTTATTTTTTTAGTACTGAAAATACCTTTTAAAAGTGGACAAGTGCAGGAAACAAAACTAAAATATTTCCTCCAACAGGTTGAACCGAATGAATATTATCAAGCATGTGTGGATGATGCTTGTGCTTGTGACACTGGAGGAGACTGTGAATGTTTTTGTACAGCAGTAGCTGCCTATGCTCAAGCGTGCAATGAGCTGGACATTTGCATTTCATGGAGAACCCCATCCATTTGTCGTAAGTCTCACTCCACTTCTTTCTGAAGGGATACAGAGGGAAAGAAAGCAACAGACAAGAAACAAACAAAATCAAAGAAACAAACAAACAAAAAAAAGTAGGAAGAAGAAAGAAAGGAGGATAAAACTATATTTGTAGGGGACACTGCTGTATCATAAAAACAGGCAGAAAAAAAAACCAGCACAATAATAACAAACAAACAAACAAACAAAAAAAAAAGCAACAACACAAAACCCAAAGCAATTTGAGTAAATCATTGGAATCTATTCTATTCAATCTACATAAAAAGAAACCATCTGCCAGTAACTTTACCAGCAGTATTATTAGTGTCCCATTTACTTGCCAGTCGTTATTTTGCATGCGTAAAGTCTAACTCTGTTCGCTGTTTTATAACTTCATTGGGTTCAAAATGTTGTAAAAGTATAACAACAGTATTAAAAGAGAAATAAGACAACATGCTGTTCACCACTTACATGATTGTGCTGATGACATGAGACTTTTACCCAGCAAAATAACACCAATAGAAATAGATAAAGTTAAGATCCTTTTCTGTCATTTCTCTTTCTCTAGCTCTGTTCTGCGACTACTACAATCCACAGGGGGAATGTGAGTGGCACTACAAGCCCTGTGGAGCCCCTTGTATGAAGACCTGTAGTAATCCAAGTGGGAAGTGCCTTCATGAGTTGAGAGGTTTGGAAGGTAAACATAATTATGCATATCTCATTCTACTTAGTAAAAAATTAAAAGAGTAAGATGAACAAAATCTGGATTATTCAGTGTATGAAATGTTTATAGCAGAAATTTGAAGACAACCTAACTCCCAGTGAATCATACACTAGTTTGGAGTGAAAATGAGGACAAAATGCTTCCAAAGATTAATCTGTAATCAATGAAATAGCAGTAATGGAAAGTGAAATTCCAATTACCACATGGAATAATTTCACTAGATCAGATATTAGCAGAGTATAGGGTCACTTCTACTTGTGAAAGATCAGCATAAATATGACTCTATTTTTCTGCAGGCTGTTATCCACACTGCCCAAAGAATAAGCCCTATTTTGATGAAGAAACCATGGCTTGTGTTTCTAATTGTGGTTGCTATGAGAATGGAAAACATTACAAGCCAGGAATGCAGATGCCTTCAAAGCAGAACTGCCAAGCATGGTAGGATTAATAAAGATTTTTCAATGTCGAGCCTAAAGTTGCAGAACTTAATTCATCGTGCATTTGGTTTTTTGTTTGCTAGCAAAAATTAGGCTGCTGAATAATGTCTAATTTTCTTCTGTTCCCAGGAATGTAGATGATATGATAAAACATTTTACTTTAGAGAGATTAATACATATTACTCACTCTGCATTCTTATTACAAACATTATTAAGTAAAAAAAAACAAATAAAAATAATAATAATTTTGTAAATAATCTGAGGACTTATGTTAAGATATCCCTAAAGTAATTATGTGGAATTATTTAGAAATGAGTACATATCAATTCTTCATTGTTTTGAACTCATTTCTGTTATTTGCAACAGTCAGCAAGTATTCCTACATATTCCATTAGAATTTATGAATACAAGCTAGCTGTACTTGTTGGGAAAGTCCTGTCAAGCTTTCTATCAAATAGCACAAAGTTAGCAGAACCAGCCATGAATCAGTTAACATTGTCCTGAGACATTTTTGGGAGGGACTCTTCGAGACTGCAGTGATAGGACAAGGGATAATGGTTTAAAGCTAAAATAGGGTAGGTTTAGATTACACTTTAGGAAGAAATTCTTCACTATGAAAATGGGAGGCCCTGGAATGGGTTGCCCAGAGAAGTTGTGGATGCCCCATCCCTGAAAGTGTTCAAGGCCAGGTTTGATGGGGCTTTGAGCAACCTCATCTAGAGAAAATGTCCATACCCATGGCAGGGGGTTCAACTAGATGTCTTTAAGGTCCCTTCCAACCCAAATCACTGTACAATTTTATGACTCTGTGGTCTTTAAAATAGCTATAAATGAATACTGCAAGCAATGCAGCCAGAGTGGCAGAGTCCATTAAGAGCCAATCTGACTATTTACTCAACATTCATGTTACACTTTGCAGCTCAAAGATAGCTTTGATTGCCTCACCTATGTCATCAACAGTACTAAATGTAAACTGTTAAATATATATCTGTATTTGCTTAAGTTTATGCAGTGTACATATGCCCTTAGTCATATAAATGTAAATAAATATATCAAGATTCAATTCTTAACAGATAATAGATAAATTCTTTTTAAAAACTACATTCCCTGAAGGTTTGTCAGAAATCTGATGTAAACATCTGTAACACAGTGATCCTTTCTCAAGTGATATTTTTACTGTACTTTCCCTTCCAAAAATGTGTGCTTATCAAGGAGACAAGAACATTCCTAATCACGCCTCCCCATATCTTTGCCTTGCCTCTAAATGCACTGCTGAGGATACCCTGCAACATGCAATGAACAGCAGACAACAGAAAAAGATACAGTAAACTGATACTACTAACCAATACATTCAGATTCATTATCTTCTTTTTTCTCTTTTCCAGTGAATGCACAAACCATGGCAAAATATGCAAATATGACGAACATGGTATGTTGAAAAAGTTGTTTTCATAAGAGTACAATGCATTTAAAGCACCCTGCTCTGTGTTTTAGATTTAAAGAGAATACTATCCTCTTTTGTTTTACAGAATGTGTCTGTGTTTATGAAGGACGGACATATAACTATACAGATATGATCTACAATACTACAGATGGCATAGGAGGCTGTATTGTTGCAACCTGTGGTCCCAATGGAACACTTCAAAGAGCTGTGTTTGACTGCCCAATCTCAGTATCACCCACAATACCGTTTTACTTCAGCACTACTCCACCTGCCACTGCTTCCACAGGTATAATCTTACAGGTCATAGGAACTTACTCTATGCATTACTGGATAAAATATAACCACTAAATAGCGCTGTTATTGGTGTTGGGTTTCAGTCAATATTTGGTAATCAAACTAATACAATACAGAAAATAAAATCACTTCCAAAACACCAGCATAAGAACAACTGCACACTATTTTGATACAATTATTTTGTTTGTTTTCACAGCAAACTATAAGAAAGCTGCATGAGATTTATTATCTCTATTTGTAACTATGTACCTGGAATAATCTTTACTGAATAAATAGATCACTCATTATTTTTCCTATTAAATTATAAAATGATTACATTCTATAGAATTCCTGATAGTGTTCATGATATATGTAATTAAAGTACTGAGTAGATCACTCAGATAATGACATCGAGATACTGAAATACTCGCTTCTAGAATTCTCCAGTATACTCAAGGTTGGTAACCTCTAATTACTATGACCACAGTCTAACAAAATACAAGTTCAACATAAAATTTTGAATTATAAGTTTTCAAATCTCAGAAACCATCAGCAACAACTAGAATTTGTTAGCTATTTTCCAGCTATTTCACGTGAATAGTTAGTCTGCAAAATCTTATGGACTGCTCTCCAATCAATAAATAATTTCTTAAGAGCAGAACTAAAGTACAAAGTGTTGAGTTGCTAATGATGTTGTGTCAGAGATATCTTAAATTCAAATGAAGAAGCAATGGCAATGCCGTGTATTTCATGAGGAATAAATTCATTAGGAATGAAAACTAAACGCACCAGTGAAACAAATGCTGTTCTTTCTGTCACACTTGATGTTCAGGAAAGACTATTAAATACTGAAACAAGACACAAAACCAAGCAATTGCACTGAATCAAATGTAAAAAAAAAAAAAAGGGGGGGGAGGTTTCCTTCAAAACAGATAAAGTGTGTCTGAGTCTTATTTCAGCACTCTCTAAATAACAAACAATATTTTCATTGAAGTGACTGTTCCAAACATGTCAGTAAGATAAATCACTAGATAATAGATTTTCTATTCTAGTTGATATTAAATTATAATTATCCTAAAATAATTCTTAAAAGACTCAAAATGCAACTAATGATGTTAAAAAATTTTCAGCCCCTTCAATGTAATGAAAATATGTATATGGGAATGTATTCTAAGTTTCAAAATATTTTCTTTAACTCTTTCAGGTACATCATCACCAACGACATCGGTATGTGTTCATGAAGTCTGTCAGTGGTCAGAATGGTATGATGGAAGTTCACTAATACCTGGATTTGACGGTGGAGATTTTGAAACATTCAGTGATTTGAGAGCTAAAGGTTATGAAGTCTGTAGAGCTCCAAAGGCAGTTCAATGCAGGGCAGAGAAATTTCCTAACATACCACTGAAGGACCTTGGCCAAAGTGTAGAATGTAATACAAAAGATGGGCTTATATGTTACAACAAAGATCAAATTTCAACTATGTGCTACAATTACGAAATCAGAATCTTATGTTGTGTTTTTGTACCATGCTCTTCCACTCCATCCATCACAACACATACCCCAGTTCCAGAAATGACAACCACAACATCAAGTATGATTACCACAACTTCATCTACAACCACAGAAACAGGAACTACTTCTGTCACAAGCACTTCGGAAACAGCAAGTTCCTCCCCAGAGACAATCACTACAACACCTTGCCAACCAAAGTGCAAATGGTCCCAATGGTATGATGTCCATTTCCCAACACTGCACAACAAAGGAGATTATGAAACCTACCAGGACATTAGATCTGCTGGAAAAGCAATCTGCAGAAACCCTGAAAAAATACAATGCAGAGCAGAGAAATACCCACATAAATCTATTGAAGAAATAGGCCAGGTTGTCCACTGCAATGTAACATATGGACTTACCTGCAGAAATGAAGATCAAAAAGGAGAACTGCATATCTGTCTTAATTATCAAGTAAAAGTATTCTGTTGTGATGACTACAGCCACTGCCAATCAAGCGTGACACCTACGGTAACAGAGGAAATTACTACCACCACTACACAAACACCAGCTACTACAACCTCAGAAATTTCAACAACTGCAACTAAAACAACAACACTAGTCACCATATCTCCTTCAACAGCAGCAATCTGTGTAAAAGAAGAATGTGACTGGTCAATTTGGTATGATGCCAGCTATCCAGAATCGGGATACGATGATGGAGACTTTGATACAATTCAGAATATAAGAAAACAGGGATATAAAGTCTGTGCTAACAGAAAGGCTGTTGAATGCAGAGCAGTAAGATTCCCTGATACACCATATCAACTCCTGGAACAACATATTACATGCAACACTGAAGAAGGTTTAATATGCTATAATAAAGACCAGCTACCACCGATCTGCTACAACTACGAAGTAAGATTTAAATGCTGTAAAAACGTAACAATACCATGCCAAACAACACAAACACCATATTCAACTACAGAAACACAAACAACAACAACAATTTCAACAACAACGACACCATACACAGAAATATCAACAACACAATACACACCACAGATACAAACAAAACATAAGACAACCACTATAGAAACAATACCACCAAGAACAGAAAATATTCACAGCGAAACCACATCAACACCAAACCAAAGCACACAGACAGAAACACAGAAAACAAAGAAAACAGCCATACCGACAGTAACAACCCCCACCACCACAGCTACAACCACCACAACAACGGAACTCAGCACAAGCTCAACCATCGGCACCCGCTCGCCCACCCCTACTCTCATCTCCTCTACCAGCTCCCCCTCCACCACGCAACTCACCACCTCCTGCGAACCTGAACTCTGC